AGCTTAATGCCATTGAGAGCATCTGATTGGCCCCTGGGCAGCCAATAGCTTGACAGGTTTTGCTGCGTATGTTCACCATGGACACCAGAGAACCTGGCCTTCCTGAATGAAATTGGAGAGCAGCAGGTTGGGAGGCCTCTTATAAACTTTAATTTGGGGAGAGCCATTGGAAGAAGGAGGTATGTGACATTTAGGACTTCCTACTGACCCAGGGACAAGTTTTATTAGATATGTGAAAACAGATCGGGTCAGGAAAGCTGAATCAAGCTGCTCACAGACAATGTACCCTGGGTGCTGTTGTAACTGTTTTTTCCCTCAACCTCTCTGATCAAATAAGGGTGCCATCTACTTTTCAAACTGGAGCACTGTCTGATGGCTTGTTCCAAAAGCAATTTATTTTAAAATTATTTAGGGCCAAGAATCCTACATGACAAGCCAAAAGCCAATAGCTGCTTGGCAGTTTTGGTAGAGCTACAGGGAGTGGATCTCAGGACAGTAACTATGTTGCTACTCTCAGGTGGGAGCTAATAGCATCTCAGCTAGAAATCACCTATCTGAGGGTGGTTTACTCTGTGTAAATAACAAGACCCGAGAAACCCCAGAAAATGTTTAGTGGAGTTGGTGTTATTTTCTACATGTGTATTTTATTCTTATTTATTGCTGCTGCAATGTTGGATTGTTCTGAACGCTGATGGAAGTCCTGGTGAGTTCTTGAGTAAGCTCAGTTTTCCAATATTGCACCCACTTTCTCCCTCAGCTATTCTCTACGGTGAGTGAAGTTTTAATTTCTTCTGTGTGTGTGCTCATGATATTGGAATCCATTTTTTCCCCTTCAGTATTTTCTACTGATATTTAATGAAACATTGTTTTGTCTACATATAATCCCCATCTAAGTTGCCTACATTCCCTGGGTGGGAATTCCTTCAGAATTTATGTTTTTTAGTTTGTTTGTTTGTTTTGTTTTTATTGCTGCCCACTTCACTCTGCCTCCAAGTAGGGGGTGGGAATTGATGTGGGTGCCAATTATTTCACAGTGCACCTTGCTTTTTAGTCACCGGTAGGCTATAAGCCACTGTACTGGCATTTTTTTTCTGATAATGATTCCTACAGAGGACAGACTACATCTCCAAGTACATTTGGGGTATTTCTCTCTGTGTTACAGCACTCACTGCCGCTGATGTATTTCTATTAGCTATGTGATTCCAAAATTTCTCAGCACTAGTTGGCCACTATTTCAAATCCAGCTCTGTTTTCTTATATATGATATACAGCACGTTGTAGTTGGATCAGCACCATTATGTATTTTTCCTACAAAACTGTTTTAAAAATCATTCCCCATGCATACATGATGTAAAAGTAGTTGTTTTCTCCCATAAATATTTTCTTAAGGAAATAGAAGCATGTTTTATGCTCTGTTATGTCTTACAGAGTCGGAAATAAACTCCTCCCGATTTATCTGAAAGGGATACTGAATGTGTAAAAGGAAACTCGTGTTTAACAAGCTCTGTACTTTTGTAAACTATCTCAGTTCAACTTCCAATAAGGTTGCCGGATAACATGTAAAACACCTAGTTAAATTTGAATTTCAGATCAGCATCTACACTAAAATTATGTGTTGATCTAAAATTCAGGATGAACTGGGTGTCTTATGTTTTATTTGCTCAGTGTAGCCCCCTATCCTTCGATGACCCTGTGTTGACTCCAACCTTGGTGGCTTTCTCTTGCCACCCCCCCCAAATCTGTTTCCCTGTAGCCAAAGGAAAGGATGACTCTGGACTGTGAAAATCTTGAAATACCCTCCAACACAGAGATGGGAAGGCTTAGCATTTAAAGTCAGGTGGTTGATGGTCTCTTCTGGGTGTCTGAGAACAGAGCAGAATGAAGGCTGTTTTCAGTTTATTTTGCTTCAGATTATTAGTGTCGGGGTTGGAGTCAGACTGGAAGGAACCCGGGTCAGGAACCCGGGTCATCATTTACTCCAGCGTAGTTTCCAGGACAGAGAGAACAGATCTCAACCCTGTTATCAGCAGGGCCTAGACTTCTAGGGCGGCCCCTAGGGGGTTACTTCCCATAACTGGTGGGTGTTTTCCAATTATGACTCATGTAAGATGTGTAAGATGGCATTTGGGTGACAGGCAGACTGGAAAGAGCCATATGGGCTGAGGCTCTGCAGGGCCAGGGGTGGGAGGGAAGGAGGGAGTGGGGATTCAGGGAGGCTCCTTTGGGAGCAGCCTATGCATTTTCTCTGGCTCCTAGATGCTGGTGGAAGCCTTCTCAAGCTCTCCACTAGTGTTACCATTTTTCTTGACATCAACTAAGAGGAGACCCTGGGAACAGGTTTCTCTTGCACACCTGCCTTCTCTGCAAAGGGAAACCAAAGGCCAATTTCTGCCATAGACACATCCATCAGCCACTGGGACATCGTTTTGATAAATCTTCTTAACATGCACAGAAAATGTCACTCTTCTCTTGCTAATCTCCAATGCAAACCTAACATTTTGGCTTCACATTTCTCATGCCTACGCAACACGGCTTTCTAATTTCACACCATCCCACATAAGAATATCCTTTGAGGTAAACTCTTAAAGCCCATGATCCGTAAGCAAATAGGATGTTGTGAACCAGGAGAGCTAATGTTTAAAGCAAGAGGAGAATCTGTGTGGACTGTAAGTATCTCCACATTTATTAATTGTCTGAATGCCAGCTTTTGCAAGTCTTCTCAAAGATAGGCCTAGCTGGAGATGAATCATCCCACACCCATGAGCTCACCCCAGGCTACTGCGAGACCATGTTGCTGTTGAACCCTGGGCACCCAGCAGCTCTCTGGGAGTGCAGAAAGGGATGGAGGAAAGACATTTCCAGGGTCTCGAGAGCTTTCTGAGCTGATGAAATTCTTTTTTTTTTTTGAAAATAGATAAAACCAGGGAGGGTGTTGGTGACCTAGAGTCTGATCCATGCATTTTTGAAAACACTTGAGATTTGGAACTATTTCACCAGCGCATCCCCTGCTGATGTGATTATTAGGAGTATCTCTTTTCACTGGTCTTGATAGAGGGCTGCAGTCTCCAGGGACACGGGATCCCATCATCAGTGGATTTGTCACAAACCCCAGACTCCTTTCTGTTTTGAAAACTGGAGACAGAGCTGTGCCTTCTGCCTTGGTATTTGCTTTACTCTGCTGAGCTCAAGCCCTGGGATATTCTGTGGAGAAGCAGTCTGCACTGCTGAGAAGCAGGGGAGCCACTGGTCTGTCTTTCCAGAGGAGACTGGTGCAGGAATTTCAGTTAAAAATATTTCTGTCACTTCTCCCCAGTTTCGGGAGCAGACAGCAGCTTCCAAAGAGAATGACTTTTGGAAGTTTTTCTCAAATGTTCTCCACATTCTGTGTTCAAAGTCAATGAAAATGACTCGTGTTTGTCAGTGTACCTGAATTTCCACTTAAGATGTGCTATACATACAGCAGCCAGGGAGAGACGTGTGGTTGCTTAAAGGCAGACATTGGATGTTTCAAAAATATCTTTTTACAAATAAAGCCAAATTATGCCAAATAACCTGAAGGAATTTGGAAGGAAATCAAAGACAAACCTTTTGAAGACCATTTGACTTTCCCTTTGTGAGTTTGGGGGTAGGAAAGTGAGGACAGACCTGAGTGAGGGATCTGGTCTCCATGGGGGCCTCATCTCTGCCCCAGGACTGGGAGATGCACCTTCAGAATCCAAGGCACAGGGTGGTGATCAGGATGTGGCTGGGATCTGGGATAATGGATAAAGAATCACCTGAGTCTGTATGCAGCACCATCATCTGGAGTGATCATGGGGGCAACAGTTTTCCAGAAAATCATTCAAGTGTGTGTACTTTAGAAGTATTCTTTTATTTTAAAAGTAGTTTACATTTACAAAACAATTTCAAACTGGTGTCCACAGATCCCACACACCCCTTCTCTTGGCTGTGATAGTATCTCAGATCTTCTCTGTTCTTGAGGGCATCTAAAGCTTAGGAGCACTAATTGTGTGCTTGGTAGACTGTCCAAGACTGGTTGTGTCCAGTCTCACCTCTAGTAGGTTTCATATGATTGCTTTTTCTTGGTTAGATGAGGTTACATATGGAAGGCCACAGGGGTAAAGTGCCCCTCCCATCATGTTGCACAAAATATAATCATGTCTTATCACTATGGATGCCATCCTCAATCATCTGACTAAGATAGCATTTTTAAACTTCCTTTAGTATAAAGTGACTTTTCCTTTCCCTTTCTATGCTGTACTCTTTGTAATGAGGTTCCCATCCACACCCACTTTCCATTTTTGAGGGTGAAGTGTGTACTTAAACTATTAAGAATTTTTCTAAATTATACATTTTCTCCTCCATTTATTTACCTATTCAATTTCTAATTATGCCAGTATAGGTAAATGTATATTGATTTTATATTTGGGGGTAAGTGGATATTTATTTTATATTTTGGATAATATTTTTTTGCTTAAATTTTTCCAGCTTTGAACACTGAGAGCAGTTTCCATTGTTTCCTGAGCATTGCTTTGACATTACCTCATAGTGTAATTTTTCTTTTATTTACTCAAAACACTTCCTTCATGTAATGCAAGAGGGTCCATGTAAATTTTACATCTATCCTGCCCAAGTCCTACGATCTGACCTTCTCCAATGGAATTTGATTTGCTCTCATGGAGAATGGTGTTAGAAACCACACTCTGAGCATTAGGTTTGCTCACTGTTGCTGGAAGACATTGCTTCTAAGCCTCTTGACTGGCAAGGGAAGGAAATACACATGTGCATACTAACCCTGCACGTATACATACCTAAAGACATTTCTAGAAGTAGTTACTGGTGTTCCTATTAAGGTAAGCCTGAGCCCATACTCTTGGGCCCAGCTCTAACTCATTGCTACATCAACCATTCCTCCCCTTTTCCCCTCCATTATCTGCAACTTTCCATCCCAACATTGAGAAACTTGGCTCCTGGAATCGTCCATCTGCTTAATTCCTCAATTCTTACTTGGATAGCAATAAATCCACAACCATGTGATTGGCCTGAGTGTTTTGAGATGTATCTATGTGCTTGAGATCTCACTTCCTTCTGTCCATGAATACTATTCTGTTGTATGAATTATAGTAATCTTTATTGTACTTTCTCGTATCGTCTGCTTCTCCTGATTTTGGACAATTAT